ATTTATTTTCTTTATAAAAATTTGCATTGACTTTTTGAATTGCATTGTATTGTACTTTACAATTCAATATGAAAAGAAGAAAATAACAGAACAGTACTTGCTGATAAATGATAATGAATACAGCAAAACTTATATTATTTCTAGTTTCTTTTCAATTGTTTATGCTGGTTGGTTACATTGATAATATTATTGCTGCGAAGCAGCCAATTCATATTCTTGACAGCAATTTGACCTCTGAAAGGTCATTGTTTGTCAAAAATCAATCGCCTGAGACAACTGAAAAGCGGAGTTTCCTTCTTTCGTTCTGCCGGGTAAAATCAATTACTTTAGGCGACGTTTGTAGACTAACCTACTCGTACCAACGTCGGCATGTCGCGACGCTGGAGTAATATTCAGCGTTTTTACTATATTTCTAGGTTTCCTATTTCTACGTTTAATCGGCTCATGACTCAGCCACAATATTTTGAGGACAATATTATTTACGAACCCAGTTAAACTTATTTACTAGCCTATTTCAACGTGCTAATTATTACATTTAGACGACGCTTGTTGTAGACTGGCATAGTGTTTGCGGAAATAAATACCATTTTATACACATGCGCAGATCGATTCGCCAGCAGCGAGTCATCGCCAGCAGCAGCGAGCCATCGCCAGCAACAGCGAGCCATCGCCAGCAGAGAGATGTCACTGCAGCAAAACACTATTGTACCAACGCTGTTCTAATAATATATAGACAATGGGTCGTGCTCATATTATTTGTTATATTTTTATTATTCATTATTTTCACTTGACTCCCATAAATAATTTTGTTCGAAGAACATTTTATGCAGTTGTACTTCGCAGCACTTCACTTGCAATTTGCAATTTCTAGTATAATTGTAATATTTACCCCATGTTTATAAGTGGATTGGATTGATTCAGCTATGTTTAAAGCAGTTATGTGTAGGTATATGGTGTGCTACAGTGTTTCAATAATATTCATACAAAAGTTCAGATTTTTGTCATAAACTTCTTTCAACCTTGTGTTTACTGTTGTGTAGTTAAATGTATATACCCAGTGAGTGATCAGAGAGATAGTGAAAGTGCTGATGGGATGCAACTGGCTGAACTGAGGTATATTAAAAATTTATTTGTTTCACCTTATTGGAATCATCAATTGCTTTACTTTTATTCATTAATTCAGTCCATATTACTGATATTACCAAGGTCTTCAAGCAGTTAAACAAAAATCAGAGGCATGGTAAGAAATACTGATTAATGTTATTTATTTTACATTGCATGCAAATAAAAACATTTGAAATTTTACATCAGCCTCAATGTGTTCTTATTTTTTGAAGTAATTCAGCCTCAGTTTTCTTTTAAAATGTACATTTTTTTAATTATAGAAAAAAAAAAAAAAGAAAAAGCGATTCCAAATAGAATCAAAATATATTATATATTTACAGGAATTTCCTGTCTCATTCCAAGTCAATGAATATTACTTCCTGCCCTTCCTACCTGTCTCTTATACACATCTAGATGTGTATAAGAGACAGAATTAATAGGTATCAAAACTGACTTAAGCAAATAATATTTATCAACCCTTTGATGTCCAATTAAACATCACCACATGCATTTAATATTGTATTATACTGATACTACTTATTTTTTTTTTTTTTTTTTTGGAAAACAACCTTTGATTATGATGATTCCAAATAGAATCAAAATATATTATATATTTACAGGAATTTCCTGTCTCATTCCAAGTCAATGAATATTACTTCTTCCCCTTCCTACTATGCATATGTAGGCCTAGATAAGTAATGCAATACACATTCAGTACAGCACGGTCGACTTTGGCTTAAAAAACTATGGTATGACAGTCGACAGAAGACGGGAAATGCAATTTACTACCTCTAAAATCTTACAACTATTACCAATGTATTTTATTTAAAAGCTGGTATACCTATATCATATTGAAATATTCCACTAAAACCGGAGAACTTTCGTCCAAATTGCTACACAATGTCACTTTACTCGCGACATTGTTTACATTAGTTACCGAGTTTACAAGAACGTTGTGATTGGCTAATAGCGTCTCATCAATGCTTAACAGGTATGGTAACTGTGCTGTGATTGGGTACTGCTTTCGTGAGGGACATTATTTTTTCGAAGATAAATTCTCATTTTTGGTTACAGTTTCCTCAAATTTACGATTGCCGACAATTATATTATGTTTCAATAAAATAGTATTGACATTTTTGTGCGAATGCCAAGTAGCGCGGATCGGTGGGTCACAGAATTCGTAAACTAAGCCGATTTTGGAGCCTCAACCCACGGTCTAGAACTATCAAACTACTATTCTTATGACCTCAGGTAAAATTTAACATAGCAGCTCAGTAGAAGTAATAACTTCATCATGGATATGTTAAAATGATTGTCCAGATGATTTGAAACCCATGGTAGAAGCAGCTCATTGTTAAATCACAGAGGTAAATACAACTAAAAGTTATAAAGTATTAGCATTACACCAACTTTTTTGTATTGTCTGTTCAATGTGATTAATTCTTTACTATACAGGAATAAAAAATTGATGTACCAAAAGACAGTGCTCATAAAAATACATTTCGCTAGTCCTACGTGCATACTTTGTACATGCTATGCGGAACACGTTTTGTTTAAAAAAATGTCTAGACTCTAAGTGTAGGCTTTTGTATTGTTAAATACTGTACTGTTAAACTAATGACGCGTCCCCACAGATATTTTCCGCTACACAATTTTGGGTCATGACCCTTAAAACCCTTAAAATTCACCCTGATGTACTGTATAACTAATATTTCAACTCAGTGGAGATCAGCTTTCGCCTGTGAGATTAACTCTAAAAATAATTTGCCTCTTCATATTAAGAGCCAGGGCTATTATACTGCATGGTCATGAAGACATGACATCATAACCATATATAGGCACATCATGACTATATATGGGCATACAACAGTTTTTTGATAGGCCGGAAAAGGCTTTACACTGGACAAAGAATGATTCAATAGTGTAAATTTGCAGTATGCCCACTTAACTACAGTATAATCTCCCGCATGATTTGTGAAGATAACTCACAATTGAATAAAAATTTAAGTAGGATATAAATTAGAATAATATATTTTGGTTATCACAAGCTAACAATAACATCCAAAGTGTTTGTTTATATAATGTTCAATTAAATGTTTACCACATTGGGATTTGAACCCAAGGCCTACCAACTATCGTTAGGGTGCTCTAATGGCTGAACCATGGTATACTCCCTTGAATATTCCCATTCAGGTCATCACATGTTTTTCTTAAAGAATTGCATGGCATACAGTACATCTTTAACCCCAAATCAAGAGCAATCCATATAAAATTATAATACTCTAAGACTCCAATTGCAGTAAGGAGAAATGTCCTCACCATGGACTAGTGACCTGCAGTGTCAATTTGTATCCCAGGCTAGATTGGTTGAGGCTCGGTCATACTTAGCCTGGGTTCTAGGCCCTAAATTTGGGTTACTCACTCTTGCACTTAGTGCGCGCCATACCTAATTTAATTGGCGTCCCATACTCGATTTCTTTTTTTCGGATCTTATTCCATCTCTAAATTAACTTTTTCGTTGGTGGCGCTGTCCAGAATGAGAAAAAAATAATAAAAAATAAGAGACTTGTGGCAAGTCTAGGTCATCCTGGGTGTCTCATATCCAAATAAAAAAAGGAAGTACTACATCCTTGTTTCTCAGACTTTATCACTATCATCCCAAATGCAACATAAAGGAAATTGGAATAATATAAAACACTGGTAACAGGATATGAGTGGGGAAAAATGAAGGTAAACATTTAATTTGAACAAAGACAAATACGCAGTAAATGACTTTGGATAGTTTATTTAATATTCATTAAAGTGTTTAATAACTGACAGAACTATTTAAAGATATATAGCATCAGTAATGAAACCTTAAGGAAAACCAAAACCATTATAAAACTAATACTGCTACCTTAAAAGGATCAAATACAATACTAACTTAAAATAAGGCACAGATCGAAACAAACTAGATTTTCACAAATTTATAGTTCAGATTTTTTGTAATTACAAAACACATAACAACACTCACATAATCAAAATTTCTGTCCAGTTAGTCATTATAAAGTATTCAGGGTAAATATTATCTGTACTGTATGTCAACTATAATATATTTTTATATTGACATTTTTATTGTTCTGAGGTTATATTCTTGTTGTGTTTGGATAGAAATTGTACTTTTATAACAAAAATCACAAAATAAAAAAAAGGTTTTGTGCTTTGAAACCTAAAGGAATGGTGCATTATAAATGCCCGGTAAAAGTAACAGATCATGAATGGATGCTAAATAAAGAATGAAATATAAAAACCACTATACAAATAAATGTAAAATGAAAATCTACATTGACACAACATAAGGCAAGGGGATATGCTGTAAGATCGGGAAGTACTATTGTCCTTGCATTCTGGGTAATTATTTTTCTTCTGAAGTACCATTGTCATTGTAGGCTTCACACAAAGCAGCATGCAAATATTAAAGAGGATTTGGAACATACAGCAAATAATTGGTTTAATGAAACTCTTTTTGTTTTAATTTTCTATAGAAATATTAATTTAAGCAATTCAAATATTGATTTTATTTTTAAATTTTGTGTACTGGGGAGATCGTGTCAAACCAACCTTGCACTGCTTCTTTCCACTGCATATGATGCTATAAATGGAAAGAAGCAGTGTGATGTGATTTACACGGATTTCTCCAAAGCGTTTGATTCTGTTCCTCATGATTTTATTATTTTTAAGTTATCTAAGTTTGGTATCTCCGGTTATCTTTTGGAATGGTTTAGTGATTATTTAGGAAATAGACAGCAGAGAGTTGTAATAAGTGGTCAGTCTTCTGATTGGCTACCTGTACTTTCTGGTGTACCACAGGGGTCAATACTTGGCCCCTTACTTTTCAATTTATTTATAAATGATCTTCCGTTGCAATTGAATTATTCAAACTCACTTTTTTTTGCTGATGACGTTAAGCTTTTTAAAATAATTTCGTCTGTTCAGGAAGCAGTTCAACTTCAGGAGGACGCAAGTCACCTCGCTGATTGGGCCAGAACCTGGGGGCTCACCCTTAACATTCAGAAATGTAAATTTATGTCCATTACTCTTAAGAAAAAACCAATTCTGTTCCGTTATAAATTAAATATGCAAGAACTTGAGTTAGTCTCTATTCATAAAGATTTAGGTGTTTTTATTGATAGTAAGTTGGAGGGTGGTGGAAGGGACGAGTTCGATAAATTTATATAAAAAAACAAAATTAAAACGGGATTGGTGAATGATTGTATTTGAAATATAGAAAGGAAATCGCGTCCTATTTTTTTTAGAAATAGGCCTGTGTTATTTTATTTTTTTGTTCTTTGGTGTGGTGAAATTTCATACAAGTGTCTATTCATGTTGAAAAAAAGCAGGTGACTTATTAAACCTGTCTCTTATACACATCTAGATGTGTATAAGAGACAGGTCGTACTCGTACTAGAAACTTAATCTATGTTCCATTTGGTCGGGTTGACGTAACTAAGAGAGGTTTATTTCAAAGATTAGCTGTTACATATAATAATTTAAGTTGTTCTGATGAAATTGATATTTTTTATGATAGTTTATCCTCGTTTAAGCTTAAAATTAGTAAGGTTGTTTGATGTTATTATTTGTCTCTTTCTATGTGTATATGTTTTTCTCCAACCTGTTAGTGGAGGTTCTTATCTCTGTTGGTTGAGAATTAAATAAAAAAAAAAAAAAAAAAATAGTATATTTTCAAAATATTTGTCCTTATTCTGTCAAAAGAGAAGTGTCAAAGCGGTTAGGCCAAAAAAAAATAGTATATTTTCAAAATATTTCCTGCATGATCTGATCAAGCTTTCTAATAATTTATGATCATGCCAAACAAATACATAAAGGAAAGACTAAGTTCTTATCTGATCTATTGATCAACTGTTAAAGTGTGATTTTTTAAGATTTAAAATAACTTTATTGCAAATTTAAGGAAAATTTGACGTACAGAAACATTCATAAAATAAAATAAAATTTTGTTTTCTTATTTAGCAAATAATTTTGCCAAAACATTCAGACGGAGGAGAAAATTAAAATAAAATCTTATTGGTGAATGTAAACAGTATAGTAATGGGATGGTTAAATACTTTAAATTTATGTAATTAGGAAGAAATATACATATGTATCGTATTTTTAGAGATTTCAAGGTAGCGGCAGTGTAATAAAAATAAAGAAAAACTCTTTTTCTGGAATTTTTGTTATTCTGAATCATCATTATTTCAGTGGCGGCTCTAGGATACAATTTATTGGCGGGCCAAGATGTGCGACTGGGGGGGCTAAGTATTTATGGGTGTAACTATAGTGCCCAGCGTTATATGAGGGCCGAAGGCTGAACCGGAGGTGGGTATGGGAGGGGTATGGGAGGGGGATGTCCCCTCCTCCCAAAACAAGATTTAAAAAAAAATTGGGACTTCTAGATGGCTGAGCTTTGGCCGATGGGGGGGGGGGCTTGACCAAACCGATGGGGGCTTAAGCCCACCTGCACCCCTGCTGGCACTGTCACTGCATTATTAGCAGGCGCGGGTTTATAAACAAGGTTTAAAAAAAGTATCACCTTTTTTTTAACAACAAAATTTTGCTGGGAATGGGGCTTTAAATAATAATCATACTGTAAAAATACAAGAATGTGTAGTACTGTATAGTATAGTATTATCGTAAAAAGGAAAAAATAAAACCAAACCCTTCAAAAATTACTTTCCAAGCATCATAAAGAAACCACCACTAACTAGTGTGTACATCGGCATTCCATACTATTATTTAAATTATTATTATTATTATCTAAGTTATTATTATTTAAATAATAATCATACTGTAAAAATACAAAAATGTGTAGTACTGTATAGTAGTACAGTATTATCGTAAAAAGGAAAAATAAAACCAAACCCTTCAAAAATTACTTTCCAAACATCATATATAAACCACCACTAACTAGTGCGTACATCGGCGTTCCATACTGCGGCTGTTTATCGCAAACGAAATGCATAAACAATGCGGCCCAACCGAAATGATCTGTATTCAAAAAGCCCTGTGCAAATCATAGGAAAACATGATAGAAGAAAAGAAGAAAATCAGAACACAAAAACAATAGATTTTCCACTGTCACAGGAAAATAAAATAAATAATATAATAAAGATTTTATAATAATAATATAATAAATTACATAATAGATTATATAGGTATTGCTCATGCCCTGATAAGCCCTGATGCCGTTCACAACGATTCTTTTAATTGTAAAACTTGTTAAGGCCAACTTAGACAAACAGCTTTAGCCTGCCTAGCCGCTAGCGCACTGCTGTGTCTTCACTTTCTTATTATTTTATTTTATGGGCTGGCCCATCAACTGATTTACATAATATTTTGCTTTCGACTAGAAAATGTAATTACTAGCTTCAGCTAGGCATCATCGGCATGTCCTTATTCTGTCAAAAGAGAAGTTACTAGCTTCAACTAGGCATCATCGGCATGTCCTTATTCTGTCAAAAGAGAAGTGTCAAAGCGGTTAGGCCTACCTGAGTCAGGACTCGATTCTTGTTCTGCCAGGCCTTCGGCTAACTATACTATTCTATAGGCCTAGTTTAGGCCCGCTTAAAAAAGCCTCTGTCTTCGTATAATGCACCAGCTACACCACATTGGAGATAATCTTATGTTCACCAATAATGCCTTTCTCCTGCCGAATTTCCCCGAGTTTCCTGTGTAAAATTCAGTTAAAACCGCAATAAACAAAGAAATTTCTCATCTTATGTTATTTCGGGATTATTTACTACATGCGGGCGGCCATTTTACATCATGTGACCAACAATTGGTTGATCCTAATATGCACGACAGCTACATAAATTAGTGATCCATAATAAGGAATTGTGGCGGAACCAACTTACGTAGACTTTTATAATTTAACTATAGTAAACACATAGGCTTGATTGCAACATTTTGATTTTGATAGACAAAAGTATGTTGTTGGTAAAAATAAAATGATTACAGCGATAAGGCGCAATATACACTGCACCCCTTTACTGTAATTGGAATTAATCAATCTGTTTACGTTGAGACCACCGAGGTCAGGTCAATATTGGTCGAAGTGTCACAAGACCAGCGGGAGGCCAATTGTTCGGAAAAACAATGACAAACTGTCTAATGTCATGTTCAACGGTAATAAAGTAAGTTCCTATTTAGTAACAGATATCAGGTCAGCCTTACGTGAACAAGCAGATTAGAAGTTTTGACAAAGTACGACAATCATTCGTTTATAAAGCCAGGACAAATCTTAAAAATCTATTTGAACGTAAGCCTACCCTGCCCTCTAAAGAGTAAAAAAGTAAGAGTTACCGCATCACACGGATATTACAGTATACTTATTAGAAACTGGTTCAGTAACTTCAGTGATACCAGCATCTTGATAGTACAGTATACTGATACTGATAGTACTAGATCGATAAACGTTAGGTCTATGCCTAGGCCTACACTGAGTTTCACTATTTCTCTCTAAACTCAGAACACGTTTTTGTTTATCGTGAAAGATACGTCTATAACTACAATATTTCTGTTTATTTTTTGCCTGGATGAAAATACTTCAAAATGGAAGTGTTAGCTTTCAAAATCCTGATTTTAGTTTTGCTGTTTTTTCTGTGCCTGTTCTTTGGATTGCTTCCAATAACTTTAAGGCACAAATTAGGCAAAGAACAAAGTGAAGAACAGCGACAAAAGACTTTACGTATTGTTAGTTTTCTAAGTTGTTACGGAGGTGGTGTATTTCTCGCAACATGCCTTTTAGATTTGTTACCAACTGTACGTGATAGATTGAGTTTAGTCTTTGATCAACTGCAAGAGTATACCGCATTCCCTTTTGCAGAGTTTGTAATGGTCATTGGGTTTTTTCTTGTACTCATAATTGAACAAACTGCACTCATGTTAAAGGAGACTTCACCAAGTCGCAATTCAAGATCGCAAAGTACACTCAATACCCCTTTGATTGCTGATTCTGAGAGCTATCAACGAAGTTTATATACATCGAATAGCTATCAACGCAGACCATCTGAACAGGCTATTAAAGACCCTTTCAATGCGAATGGAGTAATGGTACAAAGCTCACCATCACATGGACATTCTCATGGACATTCTCATGATGTGGAAGGGGACGGTTCAAGTTTCCGTTCCCTGATGCTGCTGTTTGCACTGTCTCTTCACTCCCTCTTTGAAGGGCTAGCTGTTGGACTGCAGAACTCAACGGCGTTGATCATGCAAATTTTTATAGCTCTCATCATTCATAAAAATGTGTTAGCTTTTAGTCTGGGGCTTAATCTGGTAAAAAGCAATTTAACAAGAGGTGCAGTCTTCCGTTCGTGTCTCTGCTTTGCGATCATGGCTCCGATTGGAATAGGGATTGGAATCGCTGTCGACAATGCAAATGACTTCATTCACAGTTTGGTAAACGGCATCCTAGAGGGAATAGCAACCGGCACTTTCTTATACATTACCTTCTTTGAAGTTCTACCTCATGAATTCCAAGAGATAGTCAAGCCACTAGACAGAGTTTTAAAGGTGTTGTGTATCTTGCTGGGGTACGCAACTATATGTGGGTTATTGTTTATTCATGCGACAGTCATTCGCCCAACGTGTTATCGTTCTGCAGAACCTGTTGGTACATAACTTATTTTAACGAATGGTGTGATTATATTTTTATAGATTGTCTTGCATAAAGAAATTTGATAAAAATGTGAAAAAAAATGTTTTAAATCTGTTAATTATAAATTTTTTTATTTAATATAAAAATGTTTAAATAAATTAACGATAAATTTTTAAATATATAGTTTTCTGAATTTGTTTAATGAATAGACAACTTATAAGTTGTGAAATTTGTGATTTTTAAAAATAAACCAATGGCTGCGGCTGTGAACAATATTAGTCTAAGAGATAGATTTTGATTAATATTTATAAAGAAATAATGAATAATCCTAACAGGGTTTGAATTATTGCTAATGATTACAATGACTGAGCAAAGTTTGTAAATGCACAAGTAATCAAATGCATTTGATCATCAAAAATTAAAGCTTTCACCTGTAAAATTTGCTGGAATTGAGTAAGGCATTGGAAACCTACAATGCATGCGCTTGGACCTTGCTGGCCTCCCCTCGACTCTGCTGGGGGTTTTAGGCGACCCACCTACTACTGCATTTTTGCACTGTACCCTGCACACCACCAATAGCAATCCTGGACACATCTTTGTGCAGGTGTACAGTATGGCCTCATGTAAATACATTTTATCAAAACCTTAGGTTGCTTACAATAATATATTTAGTAAGTAGTATTATTACTGTTGTATTACAACTGTAATAATATTTTGGAAAATCTTCATTGTAGTAGTCATTAATTGGAATGACGGTGATGATGCGTTTGTGTCTTCTGGGCAGCTAGTGTCTCCTAAAATTCTTTGTAATATATTATATTGCTTTGCATTGCATCTTTTGCCTGAATAATAAATAAATGTGTTGATGGAACTAACTCTACAATTTGTAACTACGGTAAACCAACAGTTTTTACATAATTTTAATTCATGTACAGTACATCAAAGAAGACCTTGTAAAATTATCATTCCTTATAGAAAGGATGTATGTTCTGAATGAGAAAATAGCTGCTGTAACAGATGCATAAGATAATGCTGCTCCTATAAATTCTGTGAATCAGTGAAAATTGATGTGTTTTGCTGATTGTAATTTAATTTTAAAAGGGGAGTTGAAGGTTCTACATGTTTTCCGCCGACAGTTATATTTTCATTTGAAAACACTCTGAGTATTGAACGTGAATGCATTTACAATGCTGAGTAGAATGTAGTCGCCCAAGGTAGCTAGATTAATTGCAACCTTCACTGGCAGTTTAAAGGCCAACATGTCTTTGTTTCAATTTTTAGGCAAAATTTATACAGTATTGTTAAAAGTTACCTTGGTGCTGAAGAAACCTAAGGTAGCTAGTTCAATAACCTTTCCTTAGGATGTTTGACCTAAGGTCAATAATATTAATTATTATCTTTTGTCTTGGTGTTTTTATTAAATAAGCAGTTCATTGAGAATCAGGTGGGATTCATTTTATTTGAGAGGCATGATAAATTTATGTTGTCAAAAAGTATATAGTTTTAAAAATATAAAAGTATAAATATTGTCTTGTTATAGTATTCAATACACCTTATTAATGTGACTTTTAATTCGATTCTATTTTACTGTACCCAAAAGCAAAGCTAATATTGGCATTTACAAATGTACTTACATGTAAGATCATCTGCAATTAAATAAATAATATATATATATATATATATATATTAATGCTATTAATTTTTTGCAGTCAATAATTTATTTCACTGCAAAAAATGCTAACATAATGCATAACCTAAGTCAAAGCATACAGTAATTTGTTTGATGAGGAAGTTGCACACAAACCAGGGAATCAAATAAACAATTGTTGAAATTGGTATTGGAAAACAAGGATTTAAGCAAAATATTAATTGTTAAAATACCTGAAGTATTATTAACAGTTAAACAGCTTTGATTGAAGTAGAATCAATAAAAAGAATGAAAATACTTTATACTTTTGTTATTTAGTCTGTAATTTCTTCCGACTAAACAAATATGGTACATTAAATGAACAATGCTCAATATCATACTGTACATTATAACTAAGATATTTGAGGCACGGTGAGGTGGGTGGGGGGAGAGTGCTGGAATCTAGAACAATAATCATTTGTTGGAGGAGTTCTACACCAATATATTGGTTCAAGAACATGCTTTTACTGTAGTCTATAATGTTAATTCTATACAATTCAGTTGCAATATTTTCTTAATTTTCTTCAGAAAATGAATACATTGGTAATGAACTGGAGTGTTAATGTTAGGTACAACTTTCATAACATGTAAAGTACAGAACTGTCAGTAAAACACTTCATTATTTTACAAAACAAATTCAACAATACAATATCTCTTTTGTTTACATTGCTTTAATTTCAAATATAATTAAAAGTACATGATTTGATAATTGTTAGTATCAAAAATATAAGTATGATTCATGTTCAAATATCAGTGGTAGGGCCAGAATTTGCCCAACAGGGGGCCGATGCCCTGACGAATACATAAGTAGTGGGCAGGGCGAGGGGCTGGTAGAACCCCTCGGAGGGGGTTGCAACGCTCAAATAATTTTGGATTAGAAAGCTGGGCGCATTCAATATATTTAAGAGTTATACAATCTGTAAAAATTGCATTGATTTTTATTCCCCCTGACAGAGCTGACCCCCCACCCCATTGTTGAGTACAGTATATCAATTTAATTGAAGCACACAAGATACAAAGTTCAAATAAGCATATTTTAGAACAGCCACAGAATCTAGCAAGCTGATATTATATTAGCTTCGGAAAGAGGAAATTTTGATTAAAAAGATGGGAATGAATGTATCATTTTGACTATGGTATGCATGGTCAAAAATTTTAAACATTTAAAACTATAACCTATTTTACAGCCTGGATCTTTAATATTGTAACAATATTACAAATTTACTGTATTTTTGGTCTGGTTACCTACTTCCATTTCAAATTTACAGTCGGAAAATCCCCTCCTTTGCCAACAGTAACCTTAGTTAATACATAATACAATTATACTATTTTTTTTGGTCAAAATTTAGCCAAATAGATTAAACACTGAAAACATCAATTTCTAATTTACAATCAATTCCATGTTTACAATCACTACTGTACTTGGTCCAAAAAGTTCTATGTATATAGAGTTTTGCAGGGGTCCCAAGTCTCCCAGAACTCACAGTAGTCACCTGGAAATCGGGAAGGTCTCCCAAATTCCCGCAATCAAGCAACATCTCCAGGAAATAACCCATATTTTGCTAATTCAAAGTAATTGCATGTTTTCAATGCTTTTATTATCAATTGTCTCACAAATGTCAGTGCCGCTGGGTATGAAAAGTGCAGCAAAATAAAATTAAATATTACTACAGCTCATTAACCAGATCATTGGCGGATTCAATAAATTTTTCAATATTATTAAAAGAAAATGGAGAAAAAAAGAATCATTTTCAAATCTAAGTCTGAGAATGCCATTTCTGGCCATCTAGAGGTGCCATAATCATAAATTTTCTTGACTCAGCCCCAACCATGATGGGGCTGAGATCAAGAAAAAAATAATTTTAATTCATTCAAGCGTACACTTTAACAACAGTGGCACACGTCAAATGATGGTGTGTTCAATACAAATTCAAATTGACTAAAAAAAAAAATTAAGTAATTTACAAAAACTTAATGAGATATAAATGCAATAAAAAAATAATTACATTTGTCATTGGAAGGGACCTTCTAACTAAAAATGTAAACAAAGACACCAAACATTGAGAAGGACAACAGAAATTCAATTAATTATTTTTACCTTTGAAGGTTAAGCTCTTTGTTCACACCATCACATTTTTAAATGACAAATACATGTGTTGTACCTAATGTGATTGCACAAACCACATTTGTTTGTCACAAAAAAATGTGATAGTGTGGAAAAAGCTTAATCAAGAACTTGTTTATTGCAATACACATTGGTAAATATTATACATCTGGACATCTGAAAGGAAAACAACAAAATGAAAAATCTTTATCACACACAATTTATGTTTCATATTAGTACTATGAATGCTTTAAAAAGGGTAAATAATAATAATATATTTAACATGTAACTGTTATATAAAAAGGCTAATGCTTTATAATTCCAGAACCCAAGGATTCAAGTAAGATATCCAGTAATAGTAATTGTTCGACTATCAAACAATACAGATTGTTGTATGTATAATAATAGATAATCACTGTTCTAATTATTTGGGGGAAAAAGTATATCCTCAGCTGCTTTGTATTAATACTATCCTTATGTGTTAATTTTCTAATTTTCATGATGTAGAAAAAAAGGAGGAAAAATATAAATAACTATAATAATTATCATGGAAGAATTTCATCTGGTTCTGTGCATATAATTATAAATGGATTTCAAAATGAAAATCTACGGTAACTGAGTTAATGTTTATAATTTATATCTTTGGTTCTAATAAAATGCAAAATCCATTTATAACAATAATTATGTTCGACAGTGGTTGATTTTTCGGGTAGATAAGCAGCATCCTGTCTTTTGAGTATGATAGACGTTAGCCCCGTTCATATCCAACTATGGCGAGATAATTTTAGTGGATGAACTAGATGATCTCGCCATAAGTTTGAGTATGACCGCTCAAGTATGGCGAGATGAAGGCCACAACTCGACTAAGCCCGTCGAGTAAATTTATGTCAACTAACTTTAAAATCGTATGATAGTGTATGCCCATTAAAAAGCAAAAGCGAGAATCCAGCTGCACAACTCTATCGCTAAATAAATAAAAGATAAGATAATTTGAATTGTTATCTGTGACAATCAAGACTTTAGGCATACATACAGTATGCACACATTCGCTAAATGAGATTAAAATTGCTGTTTTATTAACCACATAGTATAGCGCCAACAATTTATATATTAAAAGATCAATACAATGCCAAACAATAAAAATATTAATAATAATAATATAGGAATTCATAAAGTACCTCGTAACCTTGGGGATACAATGTACTGAAACGACAATAAATGAATACATAATTATACAAAAATATCCTGAAATGTAAAGCTTGACAATTAAAATCTTGGACTTTTTAAAAAGTTTTAAAATAACAAATAAATTTAAGAAGATAAACAAATTGCATACTTTGCTAATGTTTTAACCTCTTACCGCTTAAACTACAGTACTACAGGCAAGAACAGAATTCCTAACATTGATATTTAAATGCAAAACAACAATAATAATAATACTGTACTTGATTCATCTAGTTTTCATATATTAATAAAAACAAACTACAAAGGATAAAATGAAATAATAATAATCATATATAAATCTAAGGTCAGAATAAAAATTAAGAAATAACTGGAAAAATGAAAAGTAAATAATAATGATGATGTGGACTTAAAAAATGAAGATCGTTAAAGTACAGCAATTACAAAAAGAAAAAACATAATACTGTACAGTAATAAACAATACATCCTATTTAGTTTCTATACTGTACATTGAATAAAGTAATCCAGTAGCTGATATAGCATCACCTAGGCCAACTGTGTTCCCAGGTTTTCTACATACAAGTACAGGGCTGAAGGCAAAGTCTACCCCATCCCTATTCCACAAAGTTACCGGCCTAGCAGGATCATATATAACTACTTGTTGTCTTAATTGTATATTATCCACTGAAAGACTAAATGCTTTAGGAATTAGTAGATCAACTTTTGACGGTTGTATAGGCTTTGTCATGCAGGCTTGCTCTCCGGCTACCCGAGCTCCTGCTGCAACAGCTGATGCACTATTTTGCCACGTGTCCATTTTTGTGGCAATTAGGTGATACGTCAAACTGTGGAAATGAACCCGCGCCAGCTTACTAGAACCTCCTGAGTACTTGCCAAGAAGCCAGCTGACAATGTCTCCAACAGCTGCGATTTCTGGATAGCCATTAACAGGTTTTAGATCCTGGTGTGGTCCATGATTTGCTTGTGAGAAAAAGACAAGCTCTTGCTCATTGAGACCAATGGAGTGAATGAATGGAAATATCTATTGAAGACCAGAGAAAATTTTAAAAATGAAAATGATTAGTTTGTTTATTTATTAACATTAATCATTTATAATAATACTATCCCTTGAAGATTACTATAAACGATTAGCTTCAATATATTATACTGTCTATGATTCCATAAAAAAAAATAGTGAAAGCAAATTGATCATTCACAAGGATAAATTAAGTTATTAACTTCATCCAAGATACCTAAGGTAACAAATGTATTATGGCATACTCAGCTATTGCAATTGAGGTTAGAATACTAGCTTGATAGCCGTTGTGTGGGGAATGAATTCAGTTTAAAATTATAAGCGAGCGTGTCGAATAATCAAACTTTATCAAACAAGTGCTTTTGGCTTCTGCTTGGTAAAAAAATTATCCTACATATTGATGTTGGCATAGAATGTAGGCCGGCTATGTATGTGCATAATTTACCTGCTGCGCAATCTCTGCTAAGCAGTCAGCGTTTGCCATGCTTGCTAGTTCTAGATGAATGGGAACCTTCCGCGGCATCTTGATAATCTCATTCCTCATCATTTTTAGCAGCCGTGTCCTCGTCTCTTGCGGATGACCATCAAGTAGATGAAGACCAGATAATACAATCATCTGTGGTTTGAACTCTGGTATGAAATTTTACAAAGACACAAGTTAACTGTTGACAACTATATTTTTTAATTTATTGTACTTATTTCCTTCATATCCAACCGTTAATACACTCGCAGACTTCTCAAGTACTACAGAATTTCGCTAGTTAGGCCTACTGTATTTGCTACAGAAATTATGCCTAATCACTACGGAAATAGACAAAAATACTACGGAAATTTATCATAGGCCTGGACCCATAAATAAATAGGTTTAAATGTCCAGAACAAATGCCTTTTCCATCAAAATCTTTGGTTACATTAACTCATACTTTATTACTTTTAAAAGTGGCCCGTAATTCTACATTATGTCCAGTTTGTTTGCAATTCCACATCAAATTACAGACAATCTCAAGTTACCCTTAAATCTTTATCCTGCCAATATGTTTGAAATTCCACATGAGATGTACCTGCAATTTTCAGCATACAGATATTTTTCATTTACTACGGAAATCTGAAGACAAAGTTACGGAAATGCATTTTATGAACTTGAGAAGTCTGCACTCGCTAATTACAGGATGGATTGATGCTTTATAAATAAAAAGGGAAGAAGAGAGAGAAGGGTTGAGATGATGGTGAGTTTGTGTCAGTTGTCCATAGATGGACAGGCTTTTTGGAATTGTGTTGAGTGACAAGTCATCCATTGCTCTGCATTGCTGCTGGTGTAAAGAGTTTTCTTAGTGGCAGGCTGAGGCCTGTTCCTGCTGGCACAAACCGCTGTCTTTTCTCCTTTCTGTCTATGGATATTATTAGGTAATAGCCTCGCAATTCCAGCTAAGTTCCATGAACTGCAGTGTTGTTTATATCTGTACAGTTGTTTATTTTGAGCTTTTATGTAAATAGTCATATATTAAATTAAAATGTTTTAAAGACTGGGAATGTAATTTTCTTGTGAAAGGATTATACATATACAGTACTTATTTACATTTATTTACTTTGAAATTTAGACTGGAAACCAGTCATGGTTTGTGAGTTGGATTGGATTTAATTTATTCAGTGTAAACACCAAGGATAGCCCAGAAAAGTCTGGAAGAAGACATTTCCAGTGGGGTCCCTCTGGTGGTGAATGGGCAGTACACCGGGAGACAATCCCCTACTCTTTTCCAAAGAGTGTACTACGTTCTTTAATGTGCACATGGGCCATAATGCACACAGGACCAACGGCTTAAAAGTCTCATCCGAAAGACAGTGCACTATTGTAACTTGTATTTCAGCCCTCCAGCTGAAACACAAGGAGAGGCAGCGATAAGAATTGAACCGGGCACCTAGAGATCTCCACAGTTCAGCGCACACACAGTGGCCATCACCAGATTAGCCAACTGAGCTAAGCTGCTCTCTATGGGTGTGTTTGGGCGAGTTTTTTGTGGAGTCTAACATGGTATAAATCCGGAAACAGCCATTTCTAGTTCTCGCCGGAACAGGTGATAAATGCGCACCGTCTGCAGATATTTGCTGATAATCCAAAACTGCAAATTGCAGTGTTTTGGAGGAGCAAAAGTAGCATGCTTTAGCAGCAGGGAGCATTCTTTATCACTTAATCCCTTTAATTGTTTTAACACGCACCAGAAGTAAAGTCTGCTTAAATTTTCATGGTCCCTGCTTCATTTACAGTTTAATTCCAAAAACAAAACTGAAAAGCTGAATAAAATTAATTATTTCAACGAAGGGCTAGCCTACAATCCAGATTGTTACCCTATTACGTACGTCCGCCGCATGCATACGTGATTGTGGTACCACTACTTATACGTTTAACAATTATAGTAATTTTGCCAAACGAATGAAAGTTTATTCTGGGTTTATCCCAAAATGCACATCTGCGATTTTATTGGGAGTTTTCAATGTAGTCCCTATGCTTTATGAAGCTTATTGTTGTAGCTTCTTCGGTCATTTCATTACTTGATTTTGAGTAAACAACATTATGCAGTGTACCTAAGCCAATGTCCATTTCTTAATTAAAGCATGGAGTGACACAAGGGTCCAAGGAAACGTGATAAGACTCATTTGAATAATACCTTATAGGTCTTTCGTTAGAGGTTAATGTTTTTTTGAAAGCCGAGTTCTGCACGAACCGGTAGACCACCCGCCGATACAATACCGGTAAGAACCCTATGTAAATTTTTCTGTTCTCGCCCGAACACACCCTATGAGTCCTGAGGCTGTAATTTTGCCAATGTGTTTTGAGATGGCCTTCAAACTTATTATGGAAGAGGCATTAACAATATATGGTACTTACCGATGACGCTCTTTACAAACATATCAAGTCGAGCCAGGTTAGCGTTTGCAATGTCATTTGAGGTGATGAAACGGGTTGCTACAGGTGCAACATCCTCTCCCCACTTTTCACCCTTTGCATACTCCATGATCAGATGTACCTCATCTTTCTCAACCATAACACCACTTGGAATATTAATAGTTTTGGAGAAGAGTTTACCTGCTATTGGTCCAACAGGCCCGATAAACCGAATCTGGAAAAATTGCAAGAATTTAATGATATTTTTATGGCCGAGTTTTAAAATAATGTACCAGTACCTAAATGAGAACCCCTATTAAAATGGTACACCTTCAAGGCTGAAAATGTATCCAAATAGTAAATGGGTGTTCCCTGAATAGAAGATGTTTTAAGGTTAATAGATATACCTGTATTTGTTCATGTATTGTGACCCTATAACAGAGGTGTCCCAAAAAGAAGGGGCTCCATTGTACTGTATTAGTTTTACTGTCTTGAATCTTAAATACAATTTCACTATACCTGAACATTTGGTAATGTGTTAGCTATCTTCTGAGCCATGAGGCCAGCATTTCCTCCAAGGGAATACTGCAAAGAACAGAAAAATATTAATGTAAATCAATAATAATGATGAACAAATAAACATTGTACAGATTGTACAGTCTGTAAAATTGATAAAGCGTATGTATAACCTATATCAAAATTTATGGTCTCACCCTTTACATGTCCACATAATAGTTACTCTAGTGAAAGTAAATGAGAAAATGGTGCCAAATAGGCAATTGACAAGCTGGGTTTTGATGTTGTAGCCTGTGGAATTTTATCTAAAAAGTTTATTTGCTCTAAATAATCATATGATGTAAGGGTTTAAGAATGGGTAAAAGTAATTATTTGCATGGTCTGTTACCAATTAAGTAATTGAGCCTATAATAAATTACTGTGTTCCAAAATTAGAGTTTGTGCCACGTATGCAAATATATTTTGCCAAGCAAACTCTATACTCTTTCCAGTAAACAATGTTTATAAATGTATTATCCGGAAAAAATATTAAACTATATTTTTAAAAATTATTAACCTGCTTATCAGGTATTTTGTCTGCAACATCAATGATCTGTTTATAAACTTCCCCATTGCTGAAGTACCTCTCCCCTCCCGCCCCCTTGCTGAAGAAGTATCCGAATGTCTCCCCTAAGTGAGTGAGGTCATGCAGAGTGGAGTGGTCATGTTTGTTTTTAGGATTTATCTTCAAAGCTTTGAGTAATGCTGTCCCAGATACGATCAAATCTGCATTTACATTTAGCCTATGGAAAGATAAAATACATGCAATTAGAGTTGAATTTTTTAAACATTTTTACATGTTGGTCAAGCAAGTTTAATACTGACACAAAGACTTGTGTCCAGAAAGTGGGGTCATTTTTGGTCGTGAATTGGGCATTTCATACAGCTAGGGACAATTCCAATTCTTTCCCAAATGAAGAGTGCAATTTGCATTCTTTCACAAAGTGTGTATTGCATTCTTCAACATGCACATGGACCATTGCACACAGGATCGTCGGTGCACTATCGTAACTTGTATTTAGCCTTTCTTCAGCTGTCGTCAAGGTCAACGATTGGAACTGACTGAACCAGGCCCAGGGTCCAAATATCTGACTGGATCTCCATGGTTCAATACATACACACACACACACACACACACCCACCCACAGTGGCTACCACCAGTTTAGCCAAGCTAAAATCTACGCCAATGCCCACTTTAATTTCTAGAAGCACGGATATCTCTAGTTATGTAAAATACTGAAAGTGATTTAACAGTTTAAAATCTGAAAAGGGTTTAGGCCTTGGCCCTAGGTGCAAACAAAATGGTTTCATCCATGCAGGTATGAAATGAGACCTAAGCAAATCAATAATACCCACCCGATTGCGATTTTCGTGATTGGCACAGAAGGCTTGGTTATGGTGGATTCCCATGCATTCAGTGTTGCCTCTTCTACAGAAATACCAGTCCCATCAACATCTAATGATGTATCGGTTGTTTTACGATCATAAAAGTAGGCTAACGCTACTAATATCACGCCAGCAACCAAAGAATTGCGAATCATATTGTTATTGTTGTGACAGGTTACAAACTCGACCTAATGCAGCGAGAGAGCGGCCAGACGTGACCTCTGGTTAGCTATGGAACAAGGCATTATTGCAAAACAATAATAGCCGGCCTAGGCCTTGGCCCTAGGTCTAGCAACAGTTGGTAACGACAACAAATACAGAAAGCAATCTACCAATGACATAATATTATATCAAAAAAGAAAATTTATTAACAAATTAATGTAGAAACGTTTCTCTATAATTATTTATTGAATTTGAATGGTAACAGAGTGACATACCCATTCTACAATGGTAGAATCCAAGATGGAAGCGAACATGCGGATGAAAGTTTGGAAGGGAAACTGGGGCCTACCTTCTATTGATACAAGATGCCTCTACCTTATGGTAAGGTCATCGTCAAATGAATATGTGCGTTGATTATATGCCCTGAGATCGATTAGTAAAAATTGTGAATTACCTCATTTTTTTGTCCCATCTATCCCTAGGCCTACTAGGGCCTAGGCCTAGGCCCAACTAGGCCTAGCTTACTTTTAGGCCTTAAATTAAGGCCCTAGCTAGGCCCCTAGTCCGATCCTAGGCTATATATATGGGATAGGAGGCCCTTCCCAAGCCGTTTTCTTCCATCACACGGTCGGTACTAAATCATAAACGAAAGGGATTTGGGAATACCAGTAGGCTAGGGACCAAGTACATAGGATAAGCCAAGCTATTTTAGCCCTGCTTTTCTAGTAATAAGTCATTTTAGTTGGGCAAGAATAAAAAAAAATGCAGTGGCTAGAGATACGGTACCGTATTTCTACTTCAATTTGCTAAAGGTACGGTAAATGGAATTGCGTCACCATCACCCAACGAAGAGCCAGAATGTGCGTTACGTCATCTTTGAAGTCTGGCATTGCAGATCACCCACAATGAGCCGTAAAAACGAACGATAACGTTAAAAAGTACAATACTGTACTATCTATGCTATAGCCATTATCAAACAAGGATTGAATCCTGTACCAAACTCTTGGCATATGCCACCAGGCCTGGCTTAAATTTCTCGCTTGGCGAGAACCTAAGCAAGGCCTATGCCTTGCTTGGATTCTTCGTTTGGCGGCCCTGCTGTAGTGACAGATCGATCTGAGTGGCATATATCAGTCATAAACTAATTCATCCATGGTAAAGTTCACAACCCCCAAAATCTCATCCCAAGTTTAGTCCAAGAAAGGTTATAATATATTCAAAATGACCACGCCTTACAATCAGACAAACATGTTCATACACTTTGAATGCACATGCATAACCGATAACTCCTTGACTTACCCAACTTTACGTAGACTTTGTCGCTGTTATAGTACTTCCCCCAATCGTAAACATCGTTCGTTCGGCTAGAATTCAGATTGAGAGAATGAGTTTTCACAATTGTGATTTTTAGTGTCAAATTCATCGAATATACTTTTGATGCAGGCCCATTTAAAGTGCTAGTAATCCTATAAGAATCCTCTTATAGTTTGCAGTACTTAGGCCTATATTCAGTTTTTTAGTGCATGTGTTGTCATGTAAATAGATTAGACAAAAGACCAAGTATTGTCAACTCTCTTATGTAAGCGAAGGCATAAGCAAGCTGGCCTGGGCCTACGTCCTGTGGATTTATGCCTTCCTTAACATTGCTATATAGATAAATGACATGACTCTGAGTCTTATTACTGTGTGGAACCTTACGCCTATTTATTGATGACAGTATTATAAGAAAATACTGTACTCTTGCCTAGCTAATCATGTGCTAAGTACATATCGCTAGTCACACCGCTCACCTCACATGTACTACCATTTACGGTACCGTATTTCTAGCCACGGCGTAAAAAAAAAGTTGTTTTTGTTGGAGGATTTGAACCAGCACTTTGGGGCTTTGGGGCTTGGCATTGGACGGAAAACAACTTCCTAACCTCCCAGTCAGTATTCTTCACTGTACAGTAGTAGTAGCAAGATAAAGAAGTATAATAACAGGTCTAGACCAAAGTTGACGTCCCGACAGGGGTCCGATGCCCCTGACAGGTTGGCCAGGGTCCCCGACGAGAGTGTAAGTGGTCGGACATCGCTTAAACTCTCTCGGAAGTGGTCCAGGAGGGGGATGAATATTTAGGGTTTTCCAAGATTTATTTTAGTAATTTTAGAGTCTACTACTGTACTATGCAGAAAATACTTTGTTCTCCCTGGCGAATTGTTTTTCTTCCTGACGGCCAGCACTTCCCGATGAGGGCCCTGGCCACCCTTGGTCTACTTTCTTTGTTTTCATGTCATTACAGGCCTTTGCAAAATTCTCTGGAGCACCAATAAAACTGGAAAATGATTTTGATATCTGGAGCAATTTAAAAGGTTAGTCAAATGCAACACAAAAATAAAAGGATAAGGTGAACAATATGTAATCATCAATTTTAAAATTGTTGGTCAATTATCATGAATGAAATGAAATGAAAATATTTTTCAACATTAAAAATGGAGCAGAATGCTGTGGATGTACAGTATAATAATTTCCGTCAATTACATACTGTATTTTGAATAGATGTTTACTTTGCAGGGAACTTTCCTATCTTGATATCTGATGAAATGATTATGGAGGGAAAAAACAAAATTATAGAACATCTTCGAACAAAAGGATTTGATTCTGATAGAGATTTGACAGACATTCAACGAGCTGATATTCTAGCATTTGATGCTCTACTTGAAGATAAGCTTCTCCCTGCTTTGGTAAGAAATAAATTTATTCGGCTGCAATACTGAAGTCGCTAAGGGAATAAAATGTATGGGGAGGCTTTATCACCAGTGAAGTAATAAAATGAGGGATGGCCAATTTGGCAGAAAAGGTTGTGGGGAAGAAGTACAGTCGGGCCAATATGGGAGTAAAAGGTGTTGGGAGGGGTAGTAATTTGTTGTGTTGAGAAATGTTGGGTTGAAAAACATAATTAAAGAACTTGGTTGAGGAAGAGTTAGATTTAAACAAGTTCTCGTAATCTCGAAAGTTTTAATGAGGGCAGTATAATAGAGGCAGTATAACTAAAAAGGATAATCAATCAACTATTAATCAATCAGCCTAATGAGGGCAGTTTAATAGAGGCAGTAGATTTTAAAGGCTTATTTAATTGATTTTAGAGTCTACTAATATGTAAAAAATACATATCTCCCCCCCCCCCCCTTTACTGGCACCACCTCTGTCCTCATCAGAGCTAAAAATTGATGTGCAGGTATCTGAAGCATATAAGTAATCGAAGATTTATTTTATCGCTCAGCTCCATGTTTATTGGATCGACGCAAAGAATTACGTCGACGTTTTCCGTCCAGTCTATGCAAACTTTCTCTCCTTTCCATTCAACTTCATCACTCCTGGTAAATGGCAGAGGTACAATCAAGAACGAGTTGAAACTATGTTTGGTGGACCACACCTTGTTGAAGGAGAATTAAAAGAAATTGTATGTACAGTACAGTATTTTAATCTTTTATCAATTCTCAATTATCAATATATATATTAGTTATATTATTAAACTTTTAAAGTACCTATAGCGTGATGGGTATTTGTTATATACAGTACTGTACTATGATGGGCCTTGTGCCTTAAATTTCTGGTGACTGGTGCAGTTTATGAATTTTACATTTTTTTTTTAACTGCATTGAAGCAGTTTACTCTATATAATAATAAATAATAATAATCATTAGTATTAACTATTATTAATGTAGTTCTTGCTACTGTTTCCAATAAATTTAGTTTTAAAGTGTGCTATTTGTTTATTTTACTAATATAGCAACTATATGTTTTCAGATATTCAAAAAAGCAAAGAAATGTTTGAATTTACTATCGGAGAGACTTCACGACAAAGATTTCTTCTTTGGTGACATGTAAGTATTGATAGGATGATGTGACATCCCCGATCCCTTCCCCTCAAAAGAAAAAAAAAAAAACAATATCACAAACATTCTTATAAGCAATATATCTTGTAACACGTTATATTTTCATTGCGGATTTTTTGGGTTCAGTACGGACTCCAAAGTATGAATTTTCTTTTAGTTTTAAGGTTTATGCGGATTTTATAAGTTCGCGATGACGATATAACATGTTTTGTGCTAATAAGGCAAGACTTTTTTTATTCTTTGTTTTCCGAACTTATTTTTTTTTAAGGATCATCGGAGGAGGGCGGAATGAAAATAAAAATAAAATTTTGTTTAATTTAACAAATAGTTCGGAGAAAATTAAATGGGATGGTTAAATGCTTAAAATTTATTTAATTTGGAAGAAATACACATACATATTTTACCTTTGCAGCAGAGCGCATAATAGAAATAAAGAAAAACTTTTTTTTTCTGGTGGTGGGTGCTCTAATTGGCCAAAAATAAAATTGTATTTTTATTCAAAATCATCAATATTTGCGTTCAGCGGGTTTGATAAACAAGGTATAAAAAAAGTCTCGTCTAACCTATTGCTGACTGTATACTCATCTTCCAAAGAACTATTTATTTTAATACTGTGTATCAAAATTATTTTGTTCAGGCCCACATCTTTAGATGCTGCTGTGTTTGGTTACTTGGCACCTTTACTGCGAGCTCCACTACCAAGCACTGAGCTGCAAGCTCATCTTAAAGCCTGTGATAATTTGTGTCGGCTAGTGAGCCGCATCCAAATGAGATACTTCCCTGATATTCCATCAGGTAAGTTCTACCCAATAATGTCAGTAAGAATTGCAAATACGTTGACGATTAAATTGTATCAATGGGCGAGGCGGGCATACTTTGATCTCAGTAAGCCCTTTCAGTTTAAATTGCATGTGTTGAGATCTTTAAATAACCTTGCTCCCCACTAGCACAGGATTGTCTCTTGGTTTGTGTACATACCTAATTCAACATTAGAAGGACCCCACTGGTAATCAGCATTTCACACCAAATAAATGCAATCAACCTTATAGTTTCTACTGTATCAGCTATTTATCAAAATTTGTATTCTTTTTAAAGATGAATCTCAGAAAAATAAGCCAAATGAAAATTCAACCACAGAACCTTATGAAGAGGAGCACAAGCGTCGAAATCAGATTCTGTCCGTTCTGTTTGCTGCTGCAATGATGGTTGGCTACGCAGTATTTAGTGGGTTAGTCAAAGTACAAGTGGATGATGGCGGGTTTGGTATGGAGGTAGACTACAATGATGAAGAGAAGGATGAAGAAGTTGATTAACCAAGGAATAAACAAATAAAATATGGTTGAAGCTGCTAAAATTTTAAAATACTCTATCAGATATTAGGGAATTACTTTTTTAAAATTAAATTACCAAGTACAATAAAAGATATTAAGAATTCAGTTATATTACTTAGTACTTTATTTTTTTTTTTTACCCTCCTTAAAGTAGACCCCCTCCTTTGAACTGGTATTTACATTCATTGTCAGTAAATTTAATCACTAAAATACTGTACCATATGTTGAGGTTGGTGTTTCAATCCCTCGCTGTGCATTTCACTTGTGTCCTTGGCACTTAATCTGCATTGTTTCTCACCACCCAGGATTATAAATGGGTACCTGGTAGGGTTAAGTACCAAAATGCGCTGATGTAGCTGCTGCAATGTTATGAAATACTCCACCAGGTAGCTTGAGTTTTTGTTCCATAGGCGTTTAATCCAATGACCGGGGTAATAATGTGAAGCGAACTACCAGTACTGTATTACTGTATTTTATTAAATGATACAGTAATAATGGTTGGTAATTATATTTTTAGTAACCTGTGGTACTTTAAAATCAGAAAACTCTAGTTGTTGATTCCAGTGGAATTTAACTCTTGGACTGCAGTATGCAACCCCTTGTGGTCTTCCTGGGTAATTGTAATAATCTATTATTCATCAATAAAAAAAAACCCCAAAAGTACTTTCTACTTTACTTTATTTTAATTTTAGCTGGTGTTCAATTAAATGCATGCATCATAAGACTACAGTGCTACAAATGTTTCATGCTACAATAATACACTTATCCAAAAATTATCTTGATGTAAAAAATTAATGTTAGTAAAAAAAAACCATGCCCAAGCATAGGTCACACACCTTACTGGCCTATTGAAAGCCACACTTTTGGATATGGGTGGACGGACAATCCATCTAAGTTTTGTTCAACAATTTCTTTTCCCATCATTATATACATGGTTGGAAAATATTCAAGTCCAAGATAAAATCTATCTACCTACATCAGGGAAGCATTTAAAGTACATTTCTCGTACAACAATTCTTAAAAACTAATTTGTTAACTCCATTTAGTAGCTACCTACCCCGGTACATAATATCCGATAAATAAAAGCATTACGTAGTGTACAGATGGGAGGATATTAAATACTTTACCGTTCACACACACACCACAGAGGGAGTGATAATTTGCTGTTCACTTGCACCATAGAGGAGAAGTTGAATGCACCACAATGATCATAAACTTATAAAAATAAAGTATTTGCAATCCACTCACATCTTGGCTATATATTATTAAAATGCTGCGTTTAACAAATTAAAATAAAAAGTTGGGGAGCAGACACTTAATGTCACAGCCATACACTTTAATGTATTTGCAAGATTATTAAAATGTGCGTCTAACATGAATTAAAATAAAAAGGTGGGGAGCAGACACTTAATGTAACAGCCACGATAACAAGACAATAACATTGCAAGTATTACAGTATTTACATCTAAGCAACACAACTATTAAACTTGATTATTATGTATAGTACACTGTACTTAAAATAGGTTGAGATTACATCTGAGATTATCAAAAAGCAATTGTTTGTATCAAAAACATTAAAAATATGAAATGAAATTGAGAAATCATTTCTTTCCCTGACATAGTAAATTAACATTCATGATTCTAACAAATTGACAACTTAATGACATTGTCATACTGCGATTTTTTACAGAACATGTCAATTATTGTTATTGTCGAAGCTTATTCAGTGCAAGTTTAAATCCATTAACTTTGTAAATTTAATCCAACGATATATTTTTTATCCTAAGGCGGGCAATTTTGTATGGTTCTCACAGACGATGTAACCATAGACACCATTCCTGATTTCACTTCTAATATACCAAATTCAAAATTTCATTTCTATGTGAAACTAACAGACACCAAAAGACTATATTTATTCATCAACAAGTCTTCAGTTGACCAATTGATAATTAGATATTTAGGATAAGAATGTTCTCCAATATATTCCTGAAATGTTTTAAAAGACAAATATGTTCCAATCGCCATTTGTATTTTTTCATGGGGAAGTTTTACAAAAGATAGAGAACAAACAGATGTTGATATACTGTATTGTATCTTTGGTTAGGTACAGTCACTCTTTTCTATTCTTTCTATCTGTCTTACAGGCTTGCAATGTATCAGGAACATGGTATAATCTTGCAATGCATCAACTCATTCACATCAACAGGCACTTTGAAGATTCTTCTTCCTGAAAGAACAAAATATGAACACAATATAATAAATATACTCAGCAAATCATTTGAGACTTATTACACTAGAACCTCGTTTTTACGTACCTCGGTTATACGAACCCTCAGTTTTATGTACGCCTCATACGGACTATGACGTCATCAAAAACTCCCAAAATACTCAAAACGAACGACCCTTTTCAGGGCTAACACAATGTAAAAAGAGATTTGTTAGTTTCTGTCTGTTTATTATTTCAATACTATAAATAAGCAAACCATGGCATACGCAATGTATTTTCATTCAACAGCAACGTTGGTTGTGTCTAGGCCTAATTAACGGCACTTATAATCTACAACCATGTGGATTGAGCGAGATGAACAACTGCCATTGGTGCTCAAAATAATTTCTTTCCTTAGTTTCGTGCAATAAACTTGTCTGCTCGAATTTTCTACACAAAGTTTACTAAGCTGGGTAGGCATAATTTTGCATACAGTGCACATGGTTGTCTCAACACAACAAGAAAACACCAGAGCTCTGTTCAAAATATCCATGAAGGGGAATTCCTAAGTTACATCTTTGTTTTATAGGTAATCCTACAATATTTTCATGTTCTTCAAGTTAAAAGATGTAAAATGATGAATTAATATACTAGACACATGGTTTTATTTGAACACTTTATTATGACATTGTAAAATGAAAAAAGGAAAGTACATCTTTAAATGTTTTTCTTACCGGCTGATCACTGTAGCTAAATTCTCTTTTCAAGGATCTCGTAGCACTGGCCTGAAGGGGAAAAAAACACCATCAATATTGAGTAAAATATATAACTTAACTTGCATCAAACACACACATTTAACAGGGCCATAACCAGGATTTAATATTACCTGAGAGGAGAGCTAAATGTCAAGGAGGTGTTCTGGGGGTCTGGTGGAGGACAGAGGACAAACCCTCTTGAACAAAATCTTCCTAGCATAAAAATGGTGAATTTTGTCATTTTGATGTTACAGTTGAACTTGCTTACGTCGAATCCAAAATGCCAGTGAAATATTGTTTGACTTCGATAAAATTCAACTTACAGACTGTTAAATTTGGCATGTTAAATTAGACCAACTTTGAAATTATTTGACTTGGGTAAAGTCTACTTAAGCAAGTTTAACTGTATTTAAAGCAAAAGGAGGGAGTAGTTTGGTTTATCACGGGAGGTAGTACCTTACAGGAAAGCATTCTTTTATTGATAGGCTATAAAAGAGAATAAGAATTATAAACTATTGATATCATAAATTGTGAATACTTACTTCGCCATTACTATCCAGCAAGGTTGTGGTGATCTCATCTCCAGTACCCCACGATGGCCTGTTCTTTGCCAAAAGGTCTGAAGGGGGATTGTTGGCCTGACCACTACCGGATGACCACACCGTCACTTCTTGATTGCCCTTCAATATGTACTTGTTACTGAATTTATACGATACTTCGTCATCGCCGGCACAACTCTTCAGCATCCAGCCTCCCATTGGTTGATCCTGGAATGATATTAAACAGTTTTAATGGTTATATGTTGACTCGAAAAAATATGACAAATATTTTACCAAAAAACGGTTGAAAACAAAAACACCAAATAATTACCGAATCGGAAATGTTCTTCAACTTGATGAACTTTCCATCAATGCTGACCTCAACGATAGACACAGATCCGCTGGTATGTTCACTCTGAACAATGCTGGATGCATCACGTACACGGCGACGTTTGGCACGGAGCTGGCGCATTGGTGTGTGAGTCTTGGAGGCTCTTTTCTGAGATCTAGACTGACTTCTTGGTGGTGATGGAGTGATATTCAATCTAATAATGTAAGGTAATTACAATATGCAAATTAGGTAAATATTTCTATGTATTGTTAAAAATATATTGTCCTATACAAAATACCAATGACTGTAATTAAATTGGCTGCACGATGTATTATAACAATGTACACTGTTGAGTTTTTTTGTAATTATTTTGATTTATGTCGCAAAGTATGGTTCATCAAAAATCACAGGGAGGCTATACATGCATTGATTCTTATAACTTTATTGAATGGCATATATATAATTTTATTATATTTTTTTTATTATATTTATTATGAAGTGTTTGATTAGCGTAGATGCCTACTAACTACTAGGCCTAGTTGCCTTAGAAACTATCTACCCAAAAGAATTCTTTACATGGCTGTGATTTGACATCGGTCAAATTTCATTTATTTTCGCATTTGGAGACTTTTTTGATAAATTATCTGATTCTCATACAAAAATTTATTGGAAATTTAGGTCCTGTTCCGCAGTGAAAAATAACAAAATGGCCGTTTTTGGATAATTTATCTGATAAGTGCTGCGGAAACACGACCTTATTGAAAGAATTGCATTATTCTTTTCCTTCTAGAATAAGTTACAACTTGAAAGTTGTGGTCACAATATGAATTTTAGACTAATATTATTAACTAAATAGTTTATGTTAAACTTTCCACTTTGGAATATTCATATGACTTCATTTTTTGGATATATATGAAATTTTTTATGACAGAAAGTCGGATAATTGTAGACAATTATCCGACTGTGTGCATTGAAAATGTGACAACAACAATAACGTCGACAGACACCCAAACATACTCAGGCTACGGGCTTGTCACTTAACATCAAAGCCATTAATTAATCTTTTATAGGAGCCTGTCATCACCTAGCTACGGTGTCTCCTCCTCATCATAATTATTAATTGTCTATAGTAAAAGGAAAGCTATGAATTCAGAGTGTATTCATTCATTAATATATACGTCTCATAATGCACGATAGTGCATTTCAAAGCACCTAGAAAACAAAACTTTTCGAAGGAGGACCCCCAAACACCCGAAGTCTAAAATTTAGAACAAATTACGCTCTTTTCTCATGACCCAGCCCACGCTGGGACCCATCTGTGCAATAGTCAGGGTAAACTCTGGATCCGCATCTGTTCAAGTAGGCTACTACTGTAGTCATTGAAAAAATAAATCGAATATATAATAATAAAATCATTGAACCTTCGCTTGACTAACGACTAGTAATGTACGCTTGGCTAATTTATATGACCAAAATGAAAGTATTTTAATTGGGAAAACACTGCACTCTGCCTATGAAAGAGCTCAAGACAGGCCTGAAGAATAGTGACGTGCCTTAAATCATGGTATTATCTTTATACAATGCTTCCAGCACCAAAAGTTATCTGTACACTATATAAAGCCAAACAGTTGGTTGTCTGGAGCGAAAAAAAAACCTTTAAGGAAATCACACAGCTGGTTGTGCCCTTTTTCCTGCCCTGGCCCATGTAATCACAATTTGTATCATTATCATGTGGTTGTAACACAGGTTCTGACATTCAGGACAATCATCATTAGACTAGCTATGTGGGAAAATCTGCTGACTTACCTAACTTCCTCAGCTCCTAGAAGGTTGTCGTAAGCAGCAATCTCGGCATCGAGTGAGACTTTCGTTGCTAGCAAACTCTCATACTCCTTCAACTGTTCTTCTACTTGCTCTCGCAGGATGGTCACTTCTTCGTCACGTTCGTTCAGTGATATCTGATAGCTGTCACGGTTTTCTTTGTTCTGTCTCTCCAGATTCTTAATCCTCTTGTTCAAAATATCGTTCTATTAAAAAAGGTAGTTTTTCATTTGTTTAATCTTTACTATTTTATACCCTTTTATGTGTCTAAGATCAACATATTTTAGTTCAGTGATAAATTTTAAGTGGCGATTGAACCCACAGCCATGGGTCTGGTAATTAAACATTGTAACTATAATATATCAATCTAAATATCGACTCTCATTTGTTTATGTTTATCATAACTAGACGATGTCTGGATAAACACACTAATATAATAGACGCCATGTTCGTATCTGGTGTATTATTTATTAGCCGGTGTTTAATCACACAATAATCACATATAAATACACTAGAGTAACCATGGCATCATAACAACACTACTGCTTACCTCATTTTCCCATGTTGTGATCGTTTTCTCCAGCTTCTCAACAGTCACACGTGCATCACGAAGCTCCTCTTGGGCAGCTGATGCCAACTTGCGCTGTTGTTCTGCAATTCGCTTCAGATCATTGAACTAAACACAAATTTTAAAAATACGATTAAACACACTTTATTGTTACTTTGGTAGTAAGCAACTTTTGTTATAGTGATTTAGTTCACTTTTAGGTCCCGTCAGTTTTACCAATCTTCAATATTACATACAACCTATATCAATGACATCATCAATGTAGCAATACAACATAAAATGCTGATTTTCTATTACCTGTGTATGTCAAATGTGTAAATGTGATGGTTCATTATCAGGGTTCGAAATAACGCTGGTCCGCCGGCCAATGGCTAGTAAAATGCACGGCGGACCTGTTAATTATCCCAATAACAAGTCCGTGTGACCAGTTAAAATGTCAATGAAAGTCTGACGAAATACCTAAAGCTTTAATCATTGACCTCTTAACGATATCTTTACAAAATATTTCACACAGATAATGTCAACAAGATCGCTATTTTCTCTTTATTGTCCACTACGAACAGCCTCGGTCTCAGTCATTCAAGGCGAACCGATGAACATCACGCACTAGCCTAGACCATAGAGAGGAATCCATGGCTAGGCTAGAGACGTACAGAGGGAAATCACCTTCTCCGCATGTATAGCGACAAGGAGAAGTTGATTTCCGTCTGTGTTAGCACCGTGAAGTTAAAACATCCATGTCATGTATCCATCCCACAATGCAACGTGGGACAAAAAGTTAATAAACAACGCAACGATTTCCAGACAAAATGAACCGTTCGTACAGTCCCAATAGCATTGCCATGGAGATTATCTATTAATTAAAACGACACGCCAGTAAAATGTTAGATAAAGCAGGGAGTTGGATAAAGTCAAAGTTACACCTTTCATTGTTTTAATAAAGTGCATTATCGCCTATGAATACTTAAAAATCGACTGTAATCAACCTGAAATGAAAAAGGAACTCAAAGCAATTGTTTCTACGACGACTCTTTTTCAGTAGACGTTTAATTCGGATTTGGTATGTCATTAGATTTATATATCAGTCTACAACATGTAAATTACACTCACATTCCCCAAAAACATTGCTAATTACGGAGGGAATTTGTAGAGAATTAAATTTTAATTTGTTAGATTTATTTTTAGATTTTACTCTAAAATAAAACAAAACCACGAGGGTTTCTTATTCATTTTAATAAATTTGTTTAATTAAAAATTTATCGGTTTACACTATAGCTTGTTCCTGTCAGCAAGCTGTCACGCACTATGAAACTTTGGGCGATCTGACGTCACCACAGCCAAGCACATGGGATTTTTGCCCAGCAACATGACCCCACGAAAAAAATTAACCAATTAGCGGGCAGAGTTTAGGAGGCGCGACCTGATATTTACAACAAAGTCGCATCGTCGTGACCACGAAGAATGTGTTATGTTTACAGTTTAGAAAAAAAATGTCAGATCGAAAATGCACATAAAAAAAATATAAAAGCATTCATTTTATTGGTACAGTAATACAATTTGCTGTATACTACAGCTAAACAACAGGTACTGTACGTATTATATGTTAAATGTTAACTTTTTTCGTAGGCTAGTCATACCGAATTCACTGGGCTAGCTAGCCTATGCTGCTAAGCCTATTTTTATTTAGCTTCTAGGCCTAGGCTAGGCCCTAACTGGCCTGCCTTATTCGGAAAGGATTCAATAGAAATGTTCCACAAACCGATCTTTCCGGAAAACCGAACATCGTATTGTGAGAGTGCACTGTACATACCGATAGATTCCTGTATTTATATTTCCTGGCATAATTTCCCATACAGAGACAACAAAAAGATTTTTCTGTATCTGTCAGTGTTACTTCATCGGTGGTGGGGGGCAGCATGATTAGAATGTCAAAAATATGGTATTTGGGCCTTCCGAAGTTGGCAAGATAGTGGCTAGTGAAAGGGATTGAGGACCAGTAAAAATATTAATTCACTGGTCCACTTGGCTAGTTAAAAAAAACCTTAAGGGAAACCCCTGATTATTAGTACAATAATTCTGCCCTGCTCTGAGAAAAGGCATTAAGTACATTTTTTTCAAAATTGAGATTTTTAGCTTATGTGACTCCTGAATGTTTAATCTATCACCCTATTTTATCAAATTTCCAAAAATATGTCTGGAAATATGAAATTTTATTTTAAAATTGGGCATTATCTGCAAATTTCACTATAAATACTCTGAGAAAAGGCATTATGTGCACGAAGCCTTAGATACATGCATTGAACGCTTGACGCAAGGCAGATAGTAAGTAACCAATCAGATGCTAGTATAACGAATATCTAACTAATTAGCGTGGAATCCTTAGCAAATAATGCCTAATTAGTAACTGCTTTATTTAGAAGAATACTCTGAGAAAGTGCATTATCTGCTTTAAATTTTACGGCGTTTATTTATAATTCTGTGATTAATGAGATACTTTTTCTGAAATGATGCAAGTTACAGCGCAAGACATTTTTTAGAAGTCTTTTGGAAGAGTAAGTACAATATTGTATTTTATTATGTTTCATACCTATTAAGTATTAAATTTAGATTATTATTATTATTTAGTAGTATTATTTTTTGTTTTATCGACATTGTATGTTTTGTATTGTTTATTATTATTATTAGCACTGTTATTTTTACTATCATCATTATTATTACTCTTTCAGACAACCAAGAGGTAAACCAAAAATGGACAGACACAATTTTCGCCACCGAGATTGTAATCCACTTCGAGGAAGGGACATTGAGTAATGAAATTGTGAAAGAAAAAGTGTAAATAACTATTTAAAAAAAGTCGGAGCATTGTAATAAAACTTTTAAAATGTTTGGCACTCATTTGTATAACCTATGTTGTATTGTATCATTATCATTGTAAAGATAATAGTTGCAATGCATATTATAACTTAATAAATATAAATTAATTAATTTATAATTAAAATTAGCACACCATTTTTATATATATTTTTCTACATGTTATTGTTAATTAACAAGTTATTATCAATAAACTTTGAATTTGAAATTATAATGCTTTGTTTATTTTATTATTAGTCGATCGATTTAATTATTATGATAGGCCTATTCTAATTATCAATCGATAATGGTAATGATTATGATGATGATGATGATGATGATGATGATGGTGTGGATGATGATAATTAAGAGGATGAAGAGATTTAAAAATATGATGGCATGCTAGTTACCGAACCTTAGGTTTTTAAAAATTAAATAGAAGACTTTGCGGTTTCAACCATTTTAATATTTTTAAATATTAGTTTTCACTTGTTTTTGGAGCAAGATTTTTATAAAATATATGTTATAAATCTGTAGATTAAATTTCATATACATACATTTCAATAAATTAATAATTAATGCATGTTTATAAATACTTTTGCAGATAATGCCCAATTTCAAAAGTATTTATCTATATTCATAGTTATAAATACTCTGAAAAAAGGCATTATCTCCATTTTGGCCCCCTTAATAATAAAATTAATCAATGAAAAGTATGTGGCAATTTTTTTAATAATATATCTAAGCAAACCATAGTTTAACAAATTTTAAATAATTTGTACTTTTCTTGGGAAAAACTCAAACGCGTTTTGCTAATTTACTCAAAACTATGATTTTGTTACTTAATGCCTTTTCTCAGAGCAGGGCAGAATTGTTCTCCCATTTTTTCCCATTAAACACAAAATGTTGGTCCCAAATAGTACTGTAAATCCTTGAATAAGCACCACAGCACTTATAAAATTTTTGGAGGCTTCAGTGTTGCGCTTATTAAAAAAAATATTGGTGTTGCACTTTCCATGCCTGGGCCCAGGTTACCTATCATATGCCCTACATCATCGTAAATAAATGTTTATAAAGATATGCTTGTGGCCTCATTGTGTTATTTATTTATTTGAACACTGCATACATTGTATTTAAAACCCTGTTTCACAAAGTGTTTTATTACACAACACAGGGTGGTAATGTACTCTCGATTCAAAATAGAATAATCTTGAATAAGCGGTGCTAAAGCAGAAAAATCATGTTTGGTGCGACACTTATTCGAGAGCGGTGCTTATTTGAGGATTATGTTACATAAATTTCATAAGCAATGTATTCAGGGATACTTGAATGATAGAAATCTTGAATATTATCATCATAGTAACAAATTGCAAGTAACGAACGGGGTAACATTATTATCTCTACCATCATCTACAATGTTATTATTTTCACAAGAAATATGTGGGATAGTTTAACCTCACATCTACATACCTTGCTATCGTAAATGTATTCCGACTCTTTGCGCAACTGCTCCATTTGTTCTTCATGGTCAGCACGGAGGTCTTCCAGACTTTCTTGCAGACGATCATCATACTCTATGCGTCTACGGTTGTCAATTTCTGTGACTTCTTCCTGTCTGCGGACTTTTGTTTTCACCAGTTCCTAAAATAGTTACAGTATTATACATTACTTATAATCCATCTCCAAGCCACTTTATTGTTTTTATTTTTTTAAATTTCACGAGATCATGACCGTTTTACCCCTAATATTAAGACCAATATGTACTAATCCAATAAATGTTGTGATGATCCATGCATTACATGTTGCCCCACTAATAAAGTAACTGATAGAGGAGTAGTCATATGATTTACAATCTGTCAGTTACTTTGTTGGACATCCACAAGAGGCGTAATGCAATGCCTTCTTATGCAATAATAATAAAAAAAAAAAGTTCTTCAAATTTTTCAACTTGCTAAATCTTAGCACTAGGCCTAGATCTTATTTAGGTATTACTTACTTCTTTGTAGATATTTTCTTTGAAAGCGAGTTCCTCTTTCAAACTCTGAAATCGATTCTCAAGGTCAACTCTTAGAACAGTTTCTTCTTCCACCTTTTAAAGACATAAAAATACAGCTTTCTGGTTAACATAGTGTTCCTCCTTATTTAATATAACTTCAAGTCTCTCCTGTTGTGGTACAACAGAAAAGAGAAACATCCAAGCAAACTTCATAAATTATACAGCTAGTAAGATAGACATTGATATCCCAGAAACTGAGAATATTTAATTAGATAATAATTGCTTCTCATAATCAACAATTGTTCTTCCAGTGATAATAAAGTTTATGAATTCTCTGAGACGTAAGCCGGGGACATACTGCGCGGACGTGCACAACAGCTTACAGTATTATAATGACAATCTGCCACATCATGTTAACTGCTTTGCATCGTCAAGGGCTCAGAGAGAGTGGAGATAGACTTGTTGGCCAACCGTTAATAACAGTTGCCCGACACATTGTAAATCTGAATACAACTAACCTGTTTCTTAGCAACAGACAACTGCTTGTCCTTGTTCTGCAGGTTCTTCCTCAGGTCATTGTTGTCAGACTCCAGCTGACGGTTCTCACTCATGGTGGACTTAAGACGGGCATCCTTGTCTGCGAGTGAACCTTCAAGGTTGTGCAGCTTCTTCAAGTTGGATGCATGATCTTTCTCCAGCTTGTTAAATCTGAGAAACAGAAATACAAATAATATTTAATTGTTTAATTTAATTACTGTATATTTAATTCAAGCCATAGGTCTAGATAAATGTTGGTTACTCTACTACATGTGTGTGTTACTGCTACAAAAATTTTCAAATACAAGAGCAGGTCTCCAATCATAGGTTAATCGATATTTTAAAGCTAATGACCAATTGAGCTCTTTTAATTCCAAATGAATTGGGATGTTTGATTTTAGTGATCAAGACAAACTTAAGGAAATTTCTATTGTCAGTTTCTATTATGAAGGTGCAGTAGGCAAGTTACACAAGGCTGGTTCTCACTAGAGCCCTAGTATCCGGATCGGGAGCTAACCGTTAGCACGTATGTGAGAACGCCCGATCGGTTACCGCTAACGGTTAGCAAGTTGAGCGCGTTTCTAACATCAACCAATCACATGTACGCGTTTACAATTTCCAGATTCTTATTGGCCAGTGATTCGATCATCATATTCTTGGTATCTGGATCGGGATTTTCTTGTATTTACTTATATTTTATTTATGTGTCTTTGTTACTCATGAATGAACAGCAAACTAGTCAAGTGATACTCTTACAAAGTTTTTATTTATCTGGTAGTATGCCAATTTTTCACAAATTGTTTTCAAATGTGCTGAGTATTCGGTACATTTCCACGTCAGGTAGGGCAAAATTACACCTATGGGTCATTCCGTGCCAACTCAACAAATGGGATGGCTGGGTACCGTCTCTCGGATATAATGTACACCAACGTGTCTGACAAACAAACCCAAAATTTGACTTGCCAATTCCAAGTCGTTTAGAAGTTACGGCCATTTGAAATTTTAGGGTCATACCCCTTTTTAGCTCTTGCATTGCATTTTCAATTAGTCATATCTTCAAATAGAATAAAGATAATTAACTGAAAATTGATATCTAGACTAACTTTTGGCTGTAGAACAGGAATATAACATGACTTTTGGTATAACGGACACCATTACGAAAATATTGGTTCGTATTAAGACCTTAACTTATTTGGTTGCGTAATTTTTCTTCCATTTTTAGACCCCCATTAAAATACCCAAATCAGTTATTAAATGGGTCTTATGCAACAAATTATTAATATATAGTTGGAAATGTTTCACCACAAAAAATTCTGGATTGTTAACTTATCATTTTAGGGGGTGATCGTAGGTCAAAATGTCATTCGGGACAAAAAATGCCTCGTTTTCATGGTGACCTTTGACCCTGTGGGCAAGTACGCTTGTTCTTAAAACCTGCACCATTAATTAATTTATATATGATGATAAGATGTTCCAAATATCAGTTTGGTGTCTTTATCCCTTCATGTTTAAAAATTGATTTGAAAAGGGGTATATTTTTCAATTTGTGACAGTATCAGTGCGTAAATGTGACAAAATTAATTTTTGAATAACGATAATATTAAAAATAATGTGCCTATAATTCTAAAACAACTTTATGTGCTTATTTCAGGCATGCAATTCGTTAAGGGATATAGTGTTTCATTATTAAGATATGTCCCCCCAAAAATGGCCCAAGTACAAGAATTGCGCAATAAAATTGTATTACTGTTGATTTCAAATGAGCATAATATTATCCGTGTACTGTATAGAGCCGTGAAATCTTTCATTCTAGGACAACTTTTTGTGTTGATTTCAGTTATGCAGCCTGTTAAAGAGATGCCTTGTTTAATTAGTAAGATATTTTGCCCCAACAATGGCCCAAGTGCAAAATTGTGCAATAAAATTGTGTTTACTATATTATTGATTTCAAATGAGCATGATATTATCCATGTACTGTCTAGACAGCCATGAAACCCTTCCATTCTAGGACAACTTTTTGTGCTGATTTCAGGTATGCAGTTTGTTAAAGGGATACATTGTTTAATTAGTAGGTATTTTGCCTCTAAAATGGCCCCAAGTGCTAAAATTGCGCAATAACATTGTGCGACCATATATTGATATATTTCAAATGAGCATAACATTAACGGTGTACTGTTTAGAACCATGAAACCTTATATTCTAGTACACATTTGTATGCTTATTTAATTCATGACATCTGTTAAGGGACAGAGTGGTTAGTTAGTATGATATTTTGCACCAAAAAATGGCTCAAGTGCAAGAATTGCATGATAACATATATTTTAAATATGAGCACAATATTATCAGTGTACTACTCTCTATAGCCAATAAAACCTTTAATTCTAGGAAAACCTTTTATGCTTATTTCAGTCATGTAGTCTGGTAAGGAACACAGTCTTTTAATTAGTAAGATATTGGTACCGACCACAGAATTGTGAAATAACAGTGCTTTTTCACCATTCTCGCATAAGAGCCACTTTTGGAGGCCCAATATCTTAATTAAACATTGTGTCCCTTACCACCAGAGTGCATGATTGAAATAAGCACAAAAGGTTGTCTTTGAAGTAAAAGTTTCATGGCTCTAGACAGTACAATGTAAAATTTATGCTCATTTAAATTCAATGTCACACAATGTTATTGCTCGATTGTTGCTCTTGGCCATTTTTGGAGCAAACTATTTTACTAACTAAAGACTTTATCCCTTAACAGACTGAAATGAATTAAATAAGTGTACAAATGTGTACTAGATTATAAGTTTACATGGTTCTGAACTGTACACTGTTAATGTTATGCTCATTTTAAATATCAAAATAGTCGCACAACTGCAATTCTTGCGCTTGGAATTTAGATATAATACCTATGCTAAATTTACATTTAACATATTTAGCTATTAAAATGAATACACTTCCTTGTAATTTAAGGAAACAAAAATTTATAAATGGGCCTGAAGAAGTGTGTTTAGTTAAGTTGTTATTTATTTTTTTTGTTTATTAAATTGAAAGGGGGTATTATTCATATTGAATTTAAATAAACTGATTATTTATGTTGGAAAAAACTTACTAACAGTATTGTTGCTTGTTCTTTCTGTAGTGGTTAACGATAGTATTTAATTTAAATTTTACATGTACCATACCAAATTTTAGGGGAAATAAAACATCTAATACATCAGATCAGACATATTTTGTAAATATTTTATGAGAGTGAATGCAATAATGTTGCTAAATAATATAAACTATTATATATAAATTTTGTTTTGTTTTAAGTTATTTAAACATAATGGAATTTAAACCTCTAAATTCCTGGTGAAAATTCACTTTAATTTGTTCCTTAAGTAAAGAATAATGCATGCATTCTACTGGCAAAACTGGATATAATGCCTAACACCAGATTTTTCATGTTTCATTGGCTTTTGTTTTAATTTGGAAAAGCGCATTACGTCCATTTTGACTGGGTTATAGAAAAAAATATACAAAAAAGTACTTCAGTATGTTTTTCTGTTGTGTAATTAGTACATTTACACAAAAAATTCAATATAATTCATTTCCATAACAAAAGGCTAAGAAACACGTTTTGCTCAATATCTCAAAACTATGATTTTGGCTTATAATGCGTTCTTCACGGAAGTATATATGTTTCTCCTGACGCAAATCCAGTTATTGTCTATTATTCCATCACGACAATAGCAATTACTATCAACACTGCAGTACCCGCTGCTTACTTGGACTCGAATTCAACCCTGGCCATCAGGCGCAAGCTCGGTGGTCTAGAGGTACTATGCTAGGCTAGTGATCTGGAGATCGTGGGTTTGAGTCCCACCCGAGAACAACTTGAGATTTTTTTCGCAATTGTTTTCAAATGTACTGAGTATTCGGTCTATTTCCACGTCAGGTAGGGCAAAATTATACCTATACTTGTTTCTCCTGACGCAAATCCAGTTATTGTCTATTATTCCATCACGATAATAACAATTACTATTGATACTCTTACAATTGTACAATAATTTTGAGTGTACAGTATATTTGCCTACAGTATCCTTAAGGTTAGGGCTAGAATGCGCTCTCACTAATCATCACAAAAATTCTTTGTAGACAAAAAGGCATACTACCAGATAAATAAAAACTACCTACAAATAATGTTATCAATATTTTTAGGTAAATAAAGATAGTAAACTGTAATTCTACAGTATATGTACTTCTGGTTTCTTGATAATCTAGATTGATTAGTAATTAATATTACACTGTTAATTAATAATGATTAAGGCTATGAAAGTCCTTGCAAGTTGCACTCATGGTATCCTCAGGGTATTGTATTCTCATTGTAATGTTTTGTCGTACTGTTAACTGGAAAAAATTATATAAAAATAAAAAAATCAAATAAACCTATATACTACCTGTAAGTTTCAAATTTACTGAAACAATAGAATAGAGCAAGAGTGATCGCTCATGGTCCACACGCGTTCCTCCACGCTTTGATACGGTACAGGCGCAAGTTATTATATTGGGTTTTTTGGAAAAGCTAATAAAATAGAAATTTTTAAATAATTAAAAATGTTTATTTGTACAAAACAAGTTATTTAGAATGTTCATTTGTACAAAATTAAAATGTCTTAAAATTGAAAAAAATAGAATTTCTTAAAATTGGAAGAAAAAAAAATTGAATACCAAGATGCGATTTGAACTCACAACCTTAAGTTCTTTAGAACACATCCTTAACTGGCCGCGCCATCCATGCAACGTGCCCTATTAGTTGTAATGGCAGTAATGTACAGGTCTTGTTGAAACCCCTGTTTGGTTTTGTAGGTGTAGGGGGGACCCTGGTGTACAACTTGAAAAAACGTTTGTTGGAAATCACCTCTAGTTTATGTGTACAAAATTTCCTGCACGTCCGTTCAAAACTGGTGACGCTGGACACTTAAATTTCTGGTAACAAGAACAAGAACAGCAGTGAGGATCTGGAGTCAGCACCTTGCGCGGACCTAAAAAACCCCTATGTTTTACAAATTAATTAAATTTGTCTATTATTTGAATTGGCATTCATTAAAACAAATCACACGGTCTAGTTCCTATCCTGGGGTTATCAATGTTCTTGTGTTTAAGTTCTTTAATATATGTGGCAAAGACAAGCCAAACCAG